TAACCACGTTCCCGATCCGAAAATGATTAAAAATAAAGCTTCTGAATTAAAAGCTTCGATTTTCTCCGGATTTTTTATCCAAAAATTTTTAACTTTCTCTAGAAAATTTTTCACATGCGCTCCAACCCGAATTTTAAATATATTTTGCTCCACAGACACTAACAATCTTAAAACGCCCAAGACAATAACATTCCACGAACGTTTGGAATGCAATTGCAGCAGTTTCGTCTCTACTTTAGAACATGCGTCCCATGCACTTTTATGCGTCCCATAAATGTCTGGATTAAAAGCTTCGATATTTATTTTCCGAATTTTTCCTGATTTTATATCCTAAAAAATTTCTGGAACAAAAAAAGTTTCTTTAAAAATTTTTCAATTTTCCATGCGCTCCGATACTCAGACCCCAACAATCTTAAAATGCCCGCGATACAACAGTCCATGAACGTTTGGAATGCAATTGTAGAAGTTTCTTAAAGATTTTAAAACAAAGGAAAAGCATTATTTCCTTAAGTCATAGATGGGATCTAAAAAACAAAACAATCTTTTATTATAATTTAGATCTTTACTCTTTTCATCATTGGCCTTTTATTGTTAAATCTTTTTTTGCTAGCTTTTGCTAATTTTCTTCCTTCATATTTTTTAATTCTTTACTTTCTCAAATTTTCTTATTAAAGTGTCCTTAAAACATTTCGTTTTTCCTATTAGAATTATTGCTAAGCAGAACCGAGCTGTTATCGGCTGCTTCACTTTTATTAGATAAACTTTTTATTTCGTGTAATCGGTTATGTGAATTACCAATTGTTAATCAAGTAATTGGTGATATATTTTAGGATTTGCAATAGCAGTTATCTTTTGTGTTTTTGCAATGTATACACATGAATAATTAAAAGACTCAAGCGGCAGCCAGTCCATGACTATTTTAATGTAATATAGCGGACAGGCCGACTTTTGCGGACCAAATTTTGCGTTATCGAACTTTCGGACCGACACTTGAGTAAAATATAAAATTTTAAAATTAAAAACATTTCTGCCAAAAAGTGTAAGGCAAAATACTCGATGACTCGTTTGAGAAGGGACACGATGGATTCGAACAGAACGAATCAGCTCCTTAATTTTGTCGGGCGACGAGATCAGAATCTTCAGAAAACAAGTTTTAGAAAACAATTAACAGAAACACAATTAAAATTATTTATTTATTTGAAATAATATCATAAGTGAAGTACCTCGGGGGAATATAGGCCGAGCACAAATGCCGGTCAACAGTAACTTTTTCTGGCAAAATGCTCTATTATGCCTTTCTTGTTTTGCAAATATACGAAAATAGGTTACAAAAAAGTCGGCATATTAGGCAAAAGGGAAATGCTAGGGACTCTTTTACTGTCAGAAAATTATAAATAATGACTGATTTTCTCAACTAATCTCTCTTGCCCTCAGATAATTTATATTGTTTCAATGGAGGGGGAGGTAGTAAAATTATTCATAATAATTTCTCTAAAAATTTTTTAATTTTAATTTTGAAATAAACGAGAGATGCCTTTCAGTTAGACGCAGAATTTTTTAAAATGTTTTTGACTTAAATATTAACAGAATCTTTTCTATAAGATCAACGGATAAAAAAATTTTTGGTCGAATTTTCCCCGAGATATGAATTTTCAAAAAACACAGCTAAAAATTTTAACGAACCTAAAAAAAGAAAATTTCTAAAATCAAAATAAACAGAAATGGGTCCAAAAATGAGAAAAGAATTGTGGACTTTCTTTTTGAAAATATTCCCTTGGTTTTAAACTTATGTACATCGTGAGAGTATTCGAAATGATTTATTTCTCAGATACCAAAGAATGAAAAGAAATCGAATTAAAAAAATTTCAAAGGCAACAGAAGCAGAGGAAAAGTTTTATGCTAATGTTGAATCAAGCATCTTAAAAGTATAAAATTTATAAATGTTTCAGAATTTATTCCGAACAAGTTTTCATAAGAGTTTCAGAATTTATTTCGAAAAATTTTGCGGAAAAGTTTGAGATACATCGTAACACCACTACACAACACATGGTTGACAAAATACCACTTTACAATTTGTGTTATATCTTTAACTTAGAAATCCCAAGTTTTGAACATTTTAAAATTTTAATCGGAAGAAAAAATTTAGAATTGAAAACAAATATGAAAAGTGTAAATATTAAAAATAGAAAAAGGAGTAGAAAACAAAACAAGTGAAAAAGAAACAGTAAAAACCCGAAAAAATATAAAAAAAACAGAAACACAATGCCTAAATTTCAAATAAGAAATTTAACAAAAATTTTAAAATTTTTACCTAAATACATATGTAAAAATACCCAAAATATGAAATAGTATGCAAATATGCACGAAAGTAACAAAATATGCACAAATATGCAATAAAAACCGGGTCTAAATTGCTCGAACCATTATAAAAACGTGTTTGAGCTTCCCCCTTCAAAGCATATCCGGATACAAATTTATGCATTTGCATGTTTTACCCAACCCTAATAATAACTTAAATCCCTTTTAATAATCTCCATTTACTAAAAGTTAAAAATGAAAAGAAAATTTTCAATAATCTTTGTTTTTGAATTCCTCTAGAGTTTTTTCATTAAACGAGCTCCATCTTCTACTTGTTCTCTGAATTAAGATAAAATTAAGATTAAATTTTTGAAGTGAAGTTTAATTAAAATCTGTTTAAAATCTCACAATGATTTCCCGAATCTTCACTTGAATAAACTGTGAATTTCTGAGGATGCTTTGGTTGACGTGAAGATTCACCACGCAATTTACGCTGTCGACGTCCTTAAATAGTAATGCAGAGATGGGTTATAGCTATTTCCTCCATTAGCTAGTGCAGTATGTTATTCGGCGACTGGGAGCGAAACAGCATCTTCAGTAGACCGGCCGGATGTGTTAGGACTTAAACATCTATATGCTTCCCAATCTTTTACCAAAACAATGGGAATACTTTTTTTTATTAAGTCAACATTAAAACTCTAGTTACTATAATTGGTTAAAATAACTCTCGTTCAGAAAAAATTTGACGTTTAAGCGAGTACAACAAAATGAGGTAGAACTTTTTTGTTTTTACGAACTGAAAAATCGAAGTACGACAGATTTATTAAATTAATTTTGCATAAACAATAGCAAACCTTTAGGTGGAAATTCAATCCAATCTAATAAAATAAAAATGATTACAGTACTATGAAATAAATACAGTAAATCTTCTAATAGAAGCACACCTCTAATATAAGCACACTACGAGGGGATCGAAAATAGAAGCACTGTGCTTCAAATGGAAGATTTACGGTATCTATTAACAAAAAATAATTGCGGAAAGTAATATTTTTGGTTAAAGGTGTTCCTCAACCCCGATTCACCTACTCATCTCCCCCACAAAAAATAAACGTCGAGCAACGCAGACAAAAAATAAAATCTCTAATCTACTCAAAAAAGGATTTTCTTAGTACCTTGGACAATAGTCTGTGCATAATCTTCATGAAAAATATGCTCCATTCGCCGATCAACATACAAATTATAATTATCCAACACATATAAATAATCTGTAGTAATTGTTTGTTCATAAGTGAGTAATTCACACTCGAATTCTTTTGACTCATTGTTAAAATTAATTTTGTAAGCATTTACCATATCATTTGAATGAATTGCTGGTGGACATGTCATTCCTATCTTTATATATTAAAAAAGTTTATTTTAATTTAATATATTATGTACAAGTCAGAACACTACGGAAAATAAAAGCTCAATTATTTAATAAGATCTTCAATAGAGATGTCATAAATAGAAATTTTTCTAGATATAACTTATCAAAATAAAATAAGCCTTAATTGGATCAAAACACATTAAATTTTAAAGAAACTCTAGACACCCAAACACACAAGCCTTATTAATACATTAAAAATATATGAATAACTACAGCCCGACATCACTATAGAAAGGTTGTAGGATAGTTGGAAATCCTTGAATATCCGGATCCGACAACCCTACACTATAGTGCATTCTACTTTTCCGACCCAGACCTAATTCATCAGGACCAGACCCCTATTGTACTTCCTGAACTTCCTTCAGTTTCTGGATACCATTTTTTAACCCAAGGTGTACAAGTCCGATTGTAGTTATTATTTTATTTTTTCAAAATAAGTCGGCGCAAATATCGCGGTGCATAAGTCGCTCGGCGCAAAAGTCGCTCGGCGCAAAAGTCATGATACCATATCCAGTACTTATTTCAGAAACAAAAATTGGAAGGGTATAAATTTTATAACATTCCTTACAATTTTATAATTTTTGTCATATTGAGGACGATGGGTGTGCTCAACATTTGAATATAAATCATCCGAAATGTTGTAATCAGGATCCACATGAATTTTCCCTCTACACTTGTCTGCACCTTTAACACTATATCTTGCACAAACCCAAAGGTCTCTTGAATGATGATAATAGATATTGCCATTATACTTGATTCCTGTCTTATTATAAGCTGTTTCTTTAAGTTCTATCTAAATTTTTAATGTAAGATTGTTTAAGGGAAAGGGCCTTTTAAATCTTCCCAAATTCGTAAAGTCTGGTCTAGTAGTAATGGGTCCTGCTTAGATTCAGCAGGACCCATTACCTTATTCGCAACCCCCTGGCACTTATTCGCAACTGAATTTTTCTGTACGTATTCAGATAAACTTTATTTATAATATACTTTTTATGCCAAAAATCGTCCTGTCACCCTTTGTTTTGAATATTTTGAAACCTTGTATCTCGAGCCTCAATCGCTTTCTCACAAAAGAAATGATACAATTACGCTTGAAGTATAGGGGCAATCGAATATATACGTTTCAAACAGAATCAGATATGTTTCGAGGGGCTAGGAATGTGGACTTAACCTCCTTCTATTTCAAAAAATGGATGAAAACTGCGAATTCTCTTTGCGAATGTAGGGAACAAACGGGTATATTAGTAGATTTGAATTTGAAGAGATATAAACTATAATATTAATATTTTTTCCTAACCTTGTAATCAACCAATAAAGTATATTCACCATTTGGACAAATTAAAGTTTTCACATAATTTGTTGATTTATATTGCCCGCTTCCTTCCACATCGTCTACATTACTATTAAAATTGGCTGCAAAATTTAGATTATCCGTATCTTTACATTTAATCATTATACTATTTATTTTTTGCTTAGATTCAGCAGGACTAGTAGGCCAAATAAAAATTAAAACACGAAGATTATTGAACAAATAAATCAAGTTCTCAAAAAAGTATTCTTCTCCTTCAACTTTTATGTATTTAATATATTTTGTAGTGTCTTTGCGAAGAATGATGTAGATTATTGTATCATTTTCCAGTATTTCTTCTATAGTGCCAATATCCGTCTTAAGGAATTTTTTAATTTAATAAATTATTAAATATTACATATGGTTATAATATGGTTATGTTTTATCCTTAATTATACATATATTTAATATTATGCAAACCCTTGTCATAATATATAATAAAGTCCCTTTATTAGATTTGTTTAAAGCTCCATGGGCAGTAAGTATTAAACTTGGCTAAATTTGTTTACCTTTTATACTTAGATGCTTAACCTAGCCTAAACATTTTTAAATACTAGCAAAATGTATCAACCCTTCCTTACACTAACTTTAATAAGCCCATAAATTGTTATTTTCAATGTAAAAGGGCCTGCATTTAGATTCTCAAAGTGAAATGTATCGTTTATGTCAGTCAATCTTGGATTGCCGAACTGATCTCCATTCAATTCCAATTTAAATCTTTCGTCCTCTTCTTTAGCCAAGCGTTTGTAATAATTTTCTCCATTTTCTCCGTTATCTCGCCAAGAAATTTTTACAAAAATGGAATATGGAGAAACAAAGTTAAAAAGTGAATTGAAGAAAATAAATAAAAAGAATAACGACATTCTCTAAATATAAATAAAAAATATAAATTGAAGATAAAATAATGATTTGGAAATGGAATAGTGGAGAGTAAAGGCAACTAAAGGTGGATTTTGCGTAAGAGGAAGAGAAATTTATTTGTTAATAATGTTATCCACGGACTCAAGAATCGATACTTCAATTTCACAAATTCCGACCCCGACCATAATTCTCAAAGTTTTTTATATTTATTCCTTCCCAGCTTATTTTTACACTAAATTCCCCAAGAAATTCTAAAAACAAGCCATGCTAATATGAAGAATTCAGGCAAATGACTAAGGATTTGTGAAAACAAAAGGAAAAGAAGATTCGGAAGAGGAAATGTCGTCAGAATTGTATTCCAAATTAAATTTCTTAATTCAAGAATTCGAATTCGATTTGTGGAAAGGTAAGCATTCGCGCTTCCTGGTATGAGAAGCACAAGTCATTCTTCGACTTAGAAGGTAATCCGTTAGCCGAACTGTAAAAGTCAGATTATTATTAAGAAAATTAAATTGTAGTGAGTATGCTAAGATATCACAGAAATTAATGCCCCAGAAATTAGATTGGATGAGATTCGATATTCTCGTTCAAGAATTAGATAACGAATTCAGTGTCCATCGGTCCAAAATTGTGAAACGATTCGAGGCTATTAAATTAAGATGCATGTCTCTGTATTGAGAAAATATTAGATTTTGGGACAATGTTAATTCTGATTGTGGAAATGGCTTTAAAGGTCGAAGATTCGAAAATTCTTATTTTCATTGCAGGGATTCCTGATGAGACAAATTATCTGCGCCAAATTTGTTCGCGATTCGTCGAACAAAATTATAATTCGGAATAGTGTACATTCAAACAATTATTGGAGCAATGTCGCAGCTAGCTCGCAACAAAAGAAGAAGCAAAGATTTTTGAAAATATTCAAGAAATGGTAAAATTAAACACGATTATTCATTTGAAGTAAATAATGTTAGTAAATTTCCTATTCAGAATCAGCAGATTATTCAGAATTCTAAAATGAAAAATGATTATTCGCAAGACAAATTCGTCAAAAATGACTATGAAAAAAAAGATTCAACCAAGGAAGTCAATTCAATAATATTCAAACAATAATTCCGATAATAAAAATAGAGTTAGAGAAGATATTCAATGTTCTAATAGTGGTTTTATTGGATTATTCGCAAGACAAATTCGTCAAGACAGACGAATTTGTCTGTATGAAATGTAGACATAAGTGGATTGGGTTGGAAATTACGAAGGAGAACAGGAAAAAGCCGTGATGTAGAGTAATTCGCGGTAGAGGACGAAAAGGTTAATTTAAATATATTAGTAGGCTGACGCTTTCAAGTCGGCTGACGCTTTCAATTTAGTTGTATCATATATCTCTAAATATTTATATTATATATATCACCTTATAATAAGTTGGGCGGATCCGGATATACGTATCCGTAAAAAGCTTCCGCAAAGTTTTGGTTCGTATCTCAAGTTTTAAATTGTTCATATCAGTGTGGTCCTTTCCAAATCACCAAAAAGGGGCATGGCTGCTCATAAAGGGCAAAACACACTTTATCCTTTGACATCACGCCCAAATTCCTCGACAATTGCTTTAAGATTTAAACATATTTCTTTTTTTTCATACCACAGGAAGAAAATTTTGAAAATTTGCAAGGACAGTCTAAGTTCCACCGATTATTGTATCAGAAATGTGCAAAATATAAAAGCCGCAACTGCAATTCTCAAGTAAATTTTGAAAAAATTTGAAACCATCCTATTTTACGCAATCCGCAATGGTCGTTAGAGCAATAAGGCGCCTAACAATCAGGGTTGCGTCGCAATTAAAAATTTTTTTTTCGTAATCGTAATTCGAAATTCAAAAAAAAATTTCGGAATAGTAATTCGTAATTTAAAAAAAATTTCGTAATCGTAATTCGTAATTTAAAAAAAATTTTGGAATCGTAATTCGTAACTCAAAAAATGCCGTAATTCGTAATTTAAAAAAAATATTTAAATTAAACTTTTTGTCCTCTACCGCGAATTACTCTACATGACCTGCTATTATTTTAAAATTATTATACGAATCAGAGCCTAAATTCTGGACTTATCTCAAATTTCGACACCGAACTCTAATAATAGAGTGACAGAAAAAAATAAGGCAGTTATGTTTTCCTAATATAAATTTAAAAAAAGTTACAGATTTAATTAATTTCCACTTTTCAGTGAGTCTATTTTAGAGAGTGAACGACTTTTTAAAATTCTCTAAAACACTACCAGATATTTTTTCAATACATTCATTTTAAAAGAGTGTCTATCATAGAGAGGGGTTCCTAGATAGCCAAAAGAAAGTCTCTTTAAAAGAGTGTCTCTTCCTAGGGAGCATATCTTAGAGAAGAACTCTTTCATAAGAGCTTATTTTAAATAATAAATGTGGAGAGTTATAAAAAATAAAATTAAAAAATAAAAATAAATAAAAATAAAAAAAAATAAAAATAAATGAATAATCATTATTTTAAAAATATTTAAATAGAGCAGGCACGCATATGTAAAGCAAAATAACTCTCCTAAACAGCGCCTCTTTCTTGCCTTTACTCCTCTCTAAAATTCGACTGTCTTAAGAATCAAGACAGAATATCACCTTTAAATAAAGTTTAAATAAATATTTGGCTATTATTATGGATTTGCAAATGTTGATTAACATCAAGAAAGGATGTTTTAATTGGCGTAATGTAAAATCTCTAGATATCCTGTACCGCTAAGTGATTATAAGGATTAATCCAAGTGATTCATTCTAAATTGGGATTCTAGTGAGGAATTTAATTCTCTAAATACTCTCTTTCATAATGCCATAATAATTTATATATTAATCCAATTCTAATTAAATCCCTCATTTCAAAATAAAGTAAAAAAATTTTTATTTTGTAAGGCCGTCGAAGTTTCTTCACAGTCTAGCAAATAAAACGAAAATAAAACTATCAGTCGGAAGTTGGATTATTAATGCAGCTTGCAACAAATTTATCTCTTAGCTCTCAGAATTAATCCCCACCATTTTAAATATTTATTTATTTATCAGCAAACCACAGGTATTTTAAAATACATTAAAGTGGTGCATAAAATACATTAAAATATCCAAAATACATTAAAGGTTTTTGGATATTTATTAATGAGTAATGTTTTTGGAAAAACGAATCTTTTTAATTAAAACAAATTTTTTGAGTTGATCAGTTGGGTGATCACCCTGTTGAGGGGATAAAGACGTGTAATCGATAGCTTTATTAAGAAATAAAGATAGTCGCTAACGGAGAGGCTAATCCAATATACATTAATAGAGAAAAAGCGATATTGATTAAACATATACATACATACATGTAGAAATAATTGATTTACTTGACTCTACTTTTTTAAAAAATTTAAAATAATGTTTGACAAAACAAAAAAATTGTTTTTATTTTTGATGTTTGATTTGTTTCATTTCTTACTTCATTTTTATTTCCTGCGAGTGGCGATAGAGAGCGTAATTTTGAAATAACCGGGATCCGAAACACGGAAATTTCCCGGGCAAATGTGGCAGGGTCCCTAAGAAAATGCTAATTCCCAAGTTTTTAAATAAAAATTCGGTAACAAAAGTAATCTCCATCATACACAGAATGCAGATACGTTTTTAAATTGACACTTGTCAAATCCTGTCTCCTACTACAGCTTTGAGTGCTAAAAGCAAAAACCTAATGCTAATTGTTAAATTTCCTCTCTCTTTCATAATGACATAATAAGTTATATTTATTTAATTCTAAATTAAATCCTAACTTCAGAATTAAATGAAAAAATTATTTCGAAAGGCCGGTGAAGATTCTTCATAGACTAGAAAACAATGTGTTGGATGTTGGATAGTTGAAGTAGTTAGCAACAAATTCTTTCTGGATCAAGCCCTACCATTTTAAATATTTATTTATGAGTAAAGTTTTTGGAAAAACGAATTTTGTCAAATTTAAACATAACAATTTATCTACGTTGATCAGTTGGGTGATCACCATGTTGAGGGGATAAAAGACGTGTTATCGATAGCTTTATTAAGAAATAAAGATAGTCGCTAACAGAGAGGTAATTCCATAGTCATTAATAGAGAAAAAGCGTTATTGACTTTAAATTTAAAAAAAGGTAAAAAATAAATTGATTAAACATATTTAGAAATATTTGATTTACTTGACTATAATTTTTAAAAAAATTTGAAATAATGTTTGACAAAACAAAAAATTGTTTTTATTTTTGATGTTTGATTTGTTATTCATCCGTTAAGAATATTCCGGTTCGGGATTAATATTTAAATTTTGACAAACAGTTCGAATTATTTAACATTTGCATAGGTAAAGTACAGGAAATTAGAATTTTTTATAAGGAAAATTAGAATTTTGATCAATTTGAAACATTTGAGAAAGAAAAATAAGAGTTGCAAAAAGAACTTATAGGCGAAACTTTGCTATTTTAAAGGTTATCCATAATCTGGTTGAATTTGGGTAGTCGGGGTCGCTTCGCGCTAGTTTAATTTCAAAAGGAAAAAGACCTGTGCAAAAATGCGTTAACGCCAATTTTTCAAATTTTTAAGACATGCCAAAAGCGAAACGCCAAAAATTGGCAAAAAAAACAACAAACAAAAGTCTGATTTCATGCTGGGGTTTTAAAGCTAATATTTTCGGTTAAAGACGATTCCGTGCCACCGTTTCAATGCAAATCAATCCCGTGCCGGCACGTTTACGAGCCAGTTTGTTTCCGTGCACACGGTTCTGTGCCAGTTATAAAAGGCATAATTATCTACAAAAAATAAATTTTTTACTCATATGCAGATTCCGCACACTTAACTAAATAATGGCAAACAGAGTTGAGCGTAAGAGGCTATCGTAAAAACGCAAAACGCAAGGCTAAAATCAACGCAAAAAAGCAAAACGCAAGAACGCAAAATTGGGAAAGTTTTTTTTAAATTAAAAGCCATTAGCTAAAAGCCATAAAGCTAATCTCA